CTCCACATCTGTCTCTGCTTAAACAGCTGCAGCCAGTTTCCTTCATCATATTGAGCAGCCAGACAACACGAAAATATACTCCTAATGAGCACTCTGGTTGTTCATGTGAAAAGCGGATTCTGAATTCACAGTTGTGATCAGAAGTTCACATCCACTCATCATGAGCACGAGTTTCATGGTAGTTTTGGGCTCTGACTTCTTTAACTGTTCTTTTTGTAGAATGGACTGTACAGCAGATATCTTTAATGAACAAACAAGAATCCATGTATTTTGTATTTCCTCTAGTTGACACAGATTCAAAAGTATGCGTATGGCCTCAGATATACACATATATCTAGTATTTGATTTAATGTCTGTTAGCAAGTTGCACTTCGACCAGATGTTTTTGGTAGCCATCACTAACTCTTGGCTGGATATTTGACTACTGTGGGAAATTTCCTGGTGACACGTTTTCAACAATTACATTATAAAATGAAGTAGGATCTCTTCCTCTCTTTTTATAGTCTGGTAACCATTCCTCTGATCACATGTTTGAGTCAAGTCAACAGTCCTCACCTGTTTGTGCAAAAGAAGAGTGAGATGCCTCACCTTTCTTTGAGCGTGCTCAGTGGTTGACTTTATTAAGCACCGATAATCAAACGGCAGATATTGCTGAGTGGGATGGGAAAGTTTGGCTATGTTGTACACCCTTGTGGTCATTTAAAACATTAACACAGACATTCTTTGTTTTTTTTTAATGAAAATTCATCTTTTTAATGCTTATTTATTTATTTGTCAAATTTAATGTCAGAGCTTCTAATAAGCTGCAGGAATGCTGTGTGAGTGGAGAACAGCCAGGTGTCCCCGTCTGATAAACCTCCATCAGTGCCACTGAAAACAGTCACTTTGACTGTAAACATGTTTCCATTTCTCACTTCACTCTTTTGGCATTTAAGTTTTTTATTGATTTTGCAACATATACTTAAACCTGTATAAGAGGGGGAAACCCCCCCCAAAAAACAGAAAAAAACACCCACAAGAAAACTGCTGTTGTACACCTCTGCCCTTACAAGTCTAAAAGAAAGAAAAGAGTAACTAACAATGGGTTCCAAGAGAAGTAACACAGAAATGGGCAAATAAAATTGACCGTTAGGTAACATTTGGACCGGTGGTCACAGTTAATAGTCCTTCAAATTACAATAATACGGTCAAAATCCTGTTTGCTTCAAATAGCTCCAAAAGTAGTCCCAATGTTCATCTTTGACTTCTGTGTCATTTTTAAGTTTATTCAGCATGGACTCATAGGAAGCAGTCTCAGTTCAGGACATACTGTAGTCTTCCAGTGCCTAAGGATAATCCTCGATGCAGTTACCAGTCCAACCATAACAACCGTAAAAATATTATTGAGAGTTCTTGGAATATGAGAACGGTCTCCTAACAAGCACAATTCAGGAGTCAAGGGCACTTCTGATCCTGAACAACCTTCTAAGAGTGTGATGACTTCCTTCCAAAAAGGAGCTATAAAGGAACATTCCCAAAAACAATGTAGGAAAGTCCCCGCCTCAATTTTACATTTCCAACAGAGATAGTCAGGCATAAGCTTCATACGATGTAATCTTGTTGGAGTATGATAATATCTATGCAGAATTTTATACTGTATGCATTTGCTCGTCGCCTCCTTAACATAAAGCCTATTTCCCGCCAAAATGCCCATCCATTTTTCGTTTGGAATTTGTGCATTTAAATCTTTCTGCCACAAAGTTTTAATGTTCGAACATTCCCCACTTCTATTATCGTTTACCAGCCTATAAAAACACGTTGCTGTGTGGTGCTCCTGAGGCATATTTATAAAATTTAGAACAAGATTTTCATGTCCCCTTCTGAACTTCGACGTCACACAATGTCTAATTTGCAAATATCTCCAGAAATTTTCCTTCCCTTCCAATTTGTATGTTTGAACAAGGTCTCTATAGGACATAAATTTTCCATCTTTAGATAAGTCGCTAATAACAATTATGCCACGAGACTGCCACAATTTCCAAAACACGTTTTTTTCCTATATGAATAGCTGGATTGTTCTAAAGAGATGAGTAAAACTGCACATGAGGTGATATTTTAAGAATTCTATGTATATTGAGCCAAACCTGGCTAGAATGAAACAAAATTGGGTTCAGTGAAGTGCAGCTTTGAGACAACATACCTTTTGGATCAAAAGGAGTATAAATCTCAGACTCTATACTTAGCCATTCCTGTCCAGCTTGATTTATTCCCCAGTAAATAACCAATTTTGCCATCTCGAATGAGACTGAATATAATCTTGGATCGGGTAAACTTAAACCACCCTTCTCCCTTCTCTCATATAATTTAAGCATATAATTTACTTGGCTTGATTCTTGCCCTTTTCCCATCCCACAGACACTGCTTAATTAAGTTCAATTCAATTCAATTTTATTTATATAGCGCCAAATCACAACAA